CTAACTTGGGTAGTAGAAAACTACTACCCAAGTACATCGGCCCATTTCGTGTATTGCACCGCCTAGGCAATGCATACACGATCGAGTTACCACGTAAGATGCGAACGCATCCCACGTTTTACGTTGGTCGGCTTAAGCCGTACCATCAGTACGCTGCTTCTTCCGATGAAGAACGCCCTTGCGCTCAAGCATCTCGCAGAGAGCCTTGTGCTCCCGATGGTGGGCATCAACAAGGGTCTGAAGAGCAGTTATCTCAGCCCGAGACCGATCAACAATCCCACGAGCTACCCTTAGCTCGTCACGAAGAGATGTCAGAGATCTCTCGTTCTCAAGCTGAGCAAAGGCAAACTCAGCTCGATGCTTCGAGGCAGTGTCCACCATCTGGAGACGCCTATTCCGCTCATGCTCGAGATCGTCGCGTAACCCTTGCGTTACGCGATCAAAGAAGCTCTCGGGAACACACCGATCCACATGATCGTGTGGAGAGCGTCTTTCCTCCTCCTCCACCTCCATTAGAGGACTCTCGCGGTGGCCAGCGCTATCTAGTAGAGCAGCTGTTGAACCACCGCGACGTGAACGGACGTCGGACGAGTTACCTCGTCCGGTGGCGCGGCTATCCCCCGTCCTGGGATTCTTGGGAGCCCCGCTCCCAATTGATGGTTGACGTACTGGGTCTGGTCGAGCAGTACGACGCGACACATCCTGTGCCGCAGAAGGACCGCCGGAGAAAGTCTTCCCGGCACGGTCGTAAAGGGATTTCAGGTTGTCAATCCCTTCGTACATCTCAGTAGAGACACGTACGCGCCACCACGGGCTGGTAAGGAGGTAAGCCTCCTTAGGTGCTCGTGCAGAGTTGTTCACACAACATGGGCACGAGTCTCCCCAAGAGAGGCAGGGTAATCCTTTCTCCCTTGACAGACGATGCAGCTTATAGCGTGCACCTGTCGGGGTTCGCTTTTCAAACTTATCACGAGCTTTGATAAGTTTGTCGTTCCAAGCGTCACGACCTACATCCTCGAGATTATGGATGTAGACGTTCCACGCCTGAAGTAGTGAGGGACCATCACGTTTGTGATTCCCACTGTACCATCGATGTCTGAAGAAAGCATCGATGAAGAACTCATGTTCAGCGCGATAGTCTTTCGCGCTGGGGTCAAGGTGATGAATCCTTGACGAATCGAACAATCGTGTTCGATAACGATCACTCGTCGTCGCCGACAAGTGATCCATGACGGATTTAGGAGGCATCCATGCCTTCTTTTCTGGAGCGAGACGCAACACATTGCGGTCCCGCTCTTCCTGCGACGTGCCGACAGAAGTACTGGCACCTCGCTGTGAAGTGGTGTCCATTGGAGAAACGACACCACTATTAGCGCCCGAGTCTCGCGACCTCGAGCGCCTTCGCTTCGGCGATGGTTCATCTGACTCATCAGATGAACCAAAGATGCTGCGACGCAAAGCATCGTCCATGCCACGCTTGGCAGGCGGCTTGGATTCAATTGCCGTCGATACGGATCCGTCATCCGTATCAGGAGAGTACGAGACACCGAGCTCGTACTCTGTGAAGACACGAGTGTCTTCATGACCAGCGCCTGCATCACCAGGTGATACAGGCTGAGTCGATTCAGCAACCGATGGGACATCAGTTGCTGTAGTTTCTGCTTCGGCGTCCGCACAGAGACGTGCAGACGCGCTCTCGGCGGCCTTGCTCGCGCATCGCATGGGCTTGTTTACCATGCGATGAGATGTTGGAAAGTGGACGCGGACCAACAAGTGCAAACCCCGTCCCAAATGATTTGGGACGAGTATCCATTTAGTCAATCAGTCACTAAAGTGACTGATGGTTAAGGGGGGTGATGTAACGGGGTGAATCGTTACATAACAATTTATAAGAAATTGTTAATAGAATATAACTATAAGAGTTATATTCTCAGAATATTGTCATAAGGACAATATTCGGTAGCACTTCCAAGTAGTTCCTAATTGGTTGATATAGGCCATTATATCAACCAACGAAGACGCGCCACGACAGACGCACGCAATGAGTGGTGAGCAGATAACTGATTTACACATTTGTATTTAGACATAGTTAGATGAAGATAAATAGTGATTTATTGCAGACATTAACTATTATAAATACAGTTCTACTTTTTACTCTAACCAAGTACTCGCTTCTTCTTACCGTCTTCCTCTGCACGTACGAGTGTACGTGAAGTTACGAGGCACCGCCTTATTCTGTTATCAGAATAAGTAGCTTGTACTGTCACCAGTACAAGCTTCAGGGTGCCCCGTTACATATATGGTCTAGTTAATCTTAATAATAAATTCCGTTTTGACTCCATTTAACTACGTCTATATACAAACATGTTTTGTAACTATCTGCGCATTACTCATTGCTTGCTTCTGTCGTAGTTACACTTTATAGGGTGATATCTCGAGCCTATATCAACCAATGAGCAGTGTCTTACGTTTGCGAAGCAATATTATCTGTTGGGACAAGATTGTGAGAATATTGTGTTTGTCCTAGCATGGTATTCAAACATAATATTTACCTTATGTAAAATATCATGTAACAGAGGTATCCATTACAGTCGTGATTATCATCCACATAGCCTATTCTGAAAATTATAAAATCATTTAACTTGGCGAAATAAATTACATTGTGTGTATTTCTATCCTGTTCCAACGGATTAATTACCAAGATGATTACATTGTGTGCAATTCTCATGTTCCAACGGATTAATTACCAAGATGGTCGGTTTGACTAGATCCCGATAGGTACCGCTTACGGCTTACTTTTGTTGAAAAGGCACTTGGGTTGTAGAAAGCAAAATGCAAAGTGAATATATTTAGGTCCTTAGTTCGCAATCTCTTTTGCTAGTCTAAGCCTACTGGATTCTTTCAACAACACAATCGTAATCGCTGTATCGCGCATTACTAATCGTGCAGTCGCATATCAGTAATCGCTATGTCGCGCATTACTAATCGTGTAGTCGCGTATTAGTAATCGCTATGTCGCGCATTACTAATCGCTACGTCGTGCATTACTAATTGTCTGCACGTACGTTCTTGTGGTTGCCGTTTGCATGCCGAGTCGCTTCTTTTACAACACTCCCACTCGACTCGGTAGCGACACCGACAGTGATGCCGAGTTTAGTACGGAGGATGGTAAACTGTGGCGCTGCGATTGCCTTGGTCATGATGTCAGCCAGCATGTCTTGTGTCGGGCAGTACTGTAGCACGACTTGATTCTTTTCGACCTTCTCACGCACGAAGTGGTAGCGAATGTCGATGTGCTTGGTGCGCTTGTGGAACTCGGGGTTCTTGGCCAATGCAATCGCGCCTTGATTGTCTTCATAGATAGTTAGAGTGTCATCGCCTGCTTCTTCGCCGAGCTCACGCATGAACGTCTTGAGCCACGTCGCTTCTTGGGTCGCCTCCGACAGTGCCATGTACTCTGCTTCGGTAGACGAGAGTGCCACGCTGCGCTGTTTCTTGCTACGCCAGCTGATGCAGCCGTTGTTTAGCACAAATACGTAGCCGCTGGTACTTCGTCTAGTATCAATATCTCGAGCCCAGTCGGCATCGGAATAGCCAAGCAATTTGCCATTGCCAGCGCCAATAAAACGAATACCAAGTGTAGGAGTCGCTTGCAGGTACCGTAGCACGCGCTTGAGTGCTTGCCAGTGTGTCGGACACGGGTCAGCAGCAAACTGGCTGAGCACTCCCACTGAAGCTGCGAGGTCTGGACGCGTGCCTACCATGAGGTACATCAAGGCTCCGACGGCACTTCGGTATGGCACTCCTTGCATGGTGTAGTTGTGCTTGCATCCATCTTTGCACATGCGCTTAGTCAACTTCAGTCCGGGATCTTGCGGTGTCTTAACAGGCTTAGAGTCTTGCATACCGAATTTGGTCAGAATCGATCGCAAGAACTTAGTCTGTTTCATCGATACATCACCTGACTTGTTATCGCGCTCGACTTCTATTCCGAGGCAATACTTAAGCTCACCGAGATCGGACATCTCGAATCGCTCGCTTAATGCACGTTTGGTGGCTGCGAGGATGTCCATGTTGTTGCACGCAAGGATGAGGTCGTCGACGTATATGACAACAAACATCATGACCTTGTCGTCACGCTTGGCGTAGACACAGTGATCCATCTCGCATTTGGTGAAACCAATCTTGAGCATGAAGTCATCAATTGTCTGGTTCCACATGCGAGGCGATTGCTTGAGACCGTACAGTGCACGCTTCAGCTTGCACACATGGTGAGGATGATTGGCATCAACAAATCCGTCAGGCTGCTTCATGTAGATCTCTTCTTCAAGCATACCGTTAAGAAACGCCGTTTTGACGTCCATCTGGTGAAGTACGAGGTTGTGCTGCGCGGCGAGGCTCACAATGATCCGGATCGACGCGAACTTGGCCACTGGTGCGAACGTCTCCTCGAATTCCACACCGTACTTTTGCAAAAATCCTTTTGCCACGAGGCGCGCTTTGTATCGCTCGATGAGTCCATCAACAGTCTCCTTCACCTTGAACACCCACTTGCTGCTGATCGCCTTGCGATCACTTGGTAACGGCACGAGTTCCCACGTGTTGTTCTTGCACAATGACTGAAACTCTGATTCGCACGCTTCACGCCACTTTCTTGCGTCGCTGGATTCCATAGCCGATGAGAATGTCATCGGCACTTCTCCCACTGAATCCACGACGTTAGCACAGTCTTCTTCATGTTCTTCTTCTTTTTCTTCATCAATAGATACTAGAAGCGCCGACATGGCTTCGAGTGGTGACGCAGTTCCTTGCACTGACGATGTGTGCACACCACTTGTACTAGCCCCGCGTCCATAGCGTTTTTCCACTGGTGGATCTGACAAAGCTTCTAGTGACTGTGTGCGTACATGTCTTTTCGACCCCGGTAGAAACTCGTCTGTCTGCGGCTGCATATACTGCGGTTGATGACTTGAACGCCGCATTTGTTGCCATTGTGGCCGCTAATGGATCGATGTTGATTCGGGCATAGGCGCATCCATGTCTTCATTGGCAACCCCGTTGTCACGGTCGTTGAAGCCTTCATCAGTGTTATGATACTCGATAGGGTCGATGCCACTTTGTTGCATGTACTTCCCGCTGTCGAACATGTCTTCCATGAATTGGGCGTCGCGACTCACTAGAATGCGACTGCTTGATATCTCTTCAAACCGGTACGCCTTTTCGTGGTCTGAGTAGCCCAAGAAGCGGCACAACGTCGATCGCGCATCAAGCTTCGACCTCTTCTCTTTCGGCACATGCACATATGCGTGACATCCAAAGACTTTCAGGTTTTTCAGCAATGGCTTCGTCTTCGTCCATACCTCGTGCGGGGACTTGTCATGGCCAATTGCTTGCGTTGGACATCGATTGCGTAGGAACGCTGCCGTTGACACTGCTTCGCCCCAGTAGCGCTTGCTTAGTCCCGCATGCTCAATCATGCATCTAGCACTCTCGACTAGAGTCCTGTTCATTCGCTCCGCCACTCCGTTAAGTTGTGGGGTGTACGGCGGCGTAAATTGCTGTATGATGCCTTTGTTGCGACAGAACGCGGCGAACTTGTTGGACACATATTCTCCACCGTTGTCGCTGCGGAGCATCTTGATGCGACGACCGGTCTGAGTCTCGGCAAACTTGGTGAACTGCATGAATTTGTCTAACACTTCAGACTTGCTGTGAATGAGGTACACAGTACAAAAATGCGACTTGTCGTCGATGAACGTGACGAAATAGCGCTTGTTGGAAAATGTCGAAGTCTGCATTGGTCCACATACATCGGAGTGCACGACGTCGAGCAGGTCCTTGGCTGGTTTACGTGTAGTTGACTGAAAACTCACTCGCGTCTGCTTTCCGAGCGCGCATCCGTTGCAAAGCTCCCACTTGCCCACAGATGTAATGTCGATGCCGACACCGAGATTCTGCTTCACGATCGCGTCGAGTCCACGATGGCCAATGTGACCAAGACGCAGATGCCACAAGTATGACTTGCTCATCTGAGGCTTGTTGGATTCACTTGCGATGCTCGCGCTCTCGACTTGCACAGGTGTCATGCATAGTTTAAAGAGACCTTTGCCGGCACGCTCGCCGATCTTCCACTTCTGGTTCTTGAAATTTGCATAACAGGCGCTCGTATCAAACGTCACTGTAGCAACATCCTTGGTGAATCGTCCAACGGAGAATAAGTTGCGTGACAGTTTTGGAATGTGCCACACATTCGTATGCACACCCTTCTTGGCACCACTTGGTGTCTTCATCATCATCACTACGTTGCCGGTCCCAATCGCCTGCACGACCCCGTCGTCTGCGAGATGAACGTTTACTGGATCGATGATCTTGTAGTTTGTCATAAACCGCTTTGAGAATGACATGTGCTGCGTCGCACCAGAGTCTATGAGCCATGCTGGATTCTTGACGCTGTCGTCGTCGTTGCTCTCCAATCCAGCTGCAAACAGGAAATCGTTCAAGTTTTCATCTTGGTTGTGCGCCACATTCGCACGCTGCGGACGCTGCCGGTCCGCGTTGTCATGGATCCGCGAGGTACATTCCGCGATCCAATGACCCATCTTGCCGCAGTAGTTGCACGCGCCAGTCTTCTTGAGTGGCCGTCCACTACGCTTCTTTTCACCTGTCATGAACGCTTGACCTGCAGCGACCCCGTCACTGCCTTGCTCCTTGCGCTTCATGTCTTCATGTAGCAGCCTGGATGTCACCAGTTCCCACGACAGCGAGTCGGCCCTTGACTCCAAAGCAGTAATGAGAAATGCAAACGACTCACTTAAGCTTCCAAGAAGCGTGATCACCAGGTCGTCTTCGCTGACCGGAGCACCCACCGCGTCGAGTTGTTCCGCCAGCGTCTTAATCTTGTTAATGTGCGAAAGCACATCATCGCCTTCCTCCATCTTGGCCGTGAAGAAACGGCGACGAAGATAGAGCTTGTTGGCTAAGCTCTTCTTCTCAAAGTGTCCTTCCAGTCTTGATCATGCATCATGTGCGCCACTTGCCGACCGAACCAGTGGTTGCTGCGAGTCCTCCATCGCAAGACAGATTATCGCGAGCGCCTTCCGTGACTTGCGCTTGAACGTTGACTGCTCCAGCGTAGTGGCAAGGTGTTCCAGCTTGATCTCCCCGCTTGTCACTTCCCACAGGTCCCGCTCCTCCAGCACCATCTGCATCTTGAACTTTCACGTGTGGAAGTTCGTACCATCAAACTTGTTGATGCGAGCGTTGGTGGCGGTGGCAGCGTCCATGTTGAAGGCAAAGTCGGCGTCGGGGGCAGAGTCAGCTGAGCTTGGGCTCATAACCTGTTGAAAAGGCACTTGGGTTGTAGAAAGCAAAATGCAAAGTGAATATATTTAGGTCCTTAGTTCGCAATCTCTTTTGCTAGTCTAAGCCTACTGGATTCTTTCAACAACACAATCGTAATCGCTGTATCGCGCATTACTAATCGTGCAGTCGCGTATCAGTAATCGCTATGTCGCGCATTACTAATCGTGTAGTCGCGTATTAGTAATCGCTATGTCGCGCATTACTAATCGCTACGTCGTGCATTACTAATTGTCTGCACGTACGTTCTTGTGGTTGCCGTTTGCATGCCGAGTCGCTTCTTTTACAACAACTTTTACAGGTCGGGGCCTGTTCTAATACAGATTCTAGGGAATTTACAAAGGTTGCATGTATGCATCAACGATTAAGCACTAATTTTTTTAGCAGGAAGCATTTTATAATAGCATAGTGTTGGATGAAGCTAAAGCCCGATCAAACTCAATGCTTACTCGAGAAAATTATGGCACTTAAAAGAAATTCTAATGCACTTGTCGAACCTCTGATGCGAACGGCAATAGCTTCACCTGAAGTCATAAAAGCTCACACTTAAAACATGTTAAAGAAACTTAACGTAACCAATATCGAAAATGACGAGTCCGGTAGAATAAGATGGTCCATCAGATCGTCAATTGGGGAATCGGATCATCATCGCAAGCATCTCCAAATAATTTAATGTAGCAAGTTTGACGTTCTGCGTTATGCAACCCCGCATGGTTACGAGCATCGAAATTCTTTGCTTGATCCGTTCGTTGCAGCAAGTTCAACGTTTTGCGTTATGCACCCTCGCATGGTTACGAGCATCGAAATTCTTTGCTTAATCTAAATTCGGCAATGTGTTTGCATTGTACTTCATTATACATATAGCTGGAGGTGATACAGGAAGTTTTTACATCTAGCGCATAGTTTTCAATATTCCGAATTACAATCACCTTAATTTTACATCTACGGTCGTTGAAGTGGACGTTGCCCGCGATAGAGAAAGTCACTGATCTTTCCGTATACGTCTACCTGGTAACGGTAACACCGAGGATAGGCGTGTTGGTAGGAATTATGTTGCGTCTCACGTATTGTCATCTTTCAAGTTGATACTTTATCAAATTACTAAACTATTTCGTCTAATTCTTTAAAAAGCAAGTGTCAATGTCGCTCTTAAAAATTAAGCTAAAGAACCCTTAAACATAGCATAGTGGGTTACCACATGTATGGCATCTGCACCCACGCATTTTTTTGTGTATTTGGATTTGCAAATATCAAGGACATTTACGCAGATCTTGACACTTTGAAATCTGGTACGGTTTAAGTCTACAAACAAACAGCTTCACAATAGCTACAAGAGGGAATCAAGCCATGTGCTCGTTCTTGGAAAATCTCATAATTCAGCGGGCCGGTTCGTCTTCACCAGGTGGATTTCAAGTCTGTGTATCTCTAAGTGATGATGTAATTGAAAGATGGGGTAGTGTTTCTACCAGTGAATCCGGCTACCTTGCAAATAATTTTTTCCTCACTATGCATTTGCAATCAATAGGACCAGACCCAGCGTGCGAACAGCTTCCGGATATTTATGCTAGATGGAGCTGGCAGAGGGAGGCAGCAGTTCATGATTAGAAGCGCTATCCACGTACGAAGAAAAAGATTCAATTTTCCTCACGCTTGCAGTGAGAATTTGAGTGGCGGGAAATTCGTTGGAGGGATCCTAATATGGTTTTGTATTACCGGTATGAAATTCCACACATGTAAGACAAACGATGTACGTTGTGAGTAAGACACTCATATTGATCTTTAGCCTCGAGCGTTCGTATGAATATACGTCTAGAGCAATACAAGTCGATTCCAGGCACCCATTTCTGTCTGAAGTAAAAAGTATCGAGTACAATACAGATAAGTAAATAGTAAGCAGCAACTGTTTGCTATTCTAAACGTTACAATAATATGTATTTTCTATCCCCTGCCCTACCGCTCTTTAGGTAGTGTAGGGCGTTCGGGATGATACCGGCATTATCACCCACAAATGTAGGATGGGAATAATTCATGCGCCGTGGCGCAATAATATAGTAAGAATTACATTGTTAAATTAAAATGAGCAGTATTGCTGTCACGTGCTTTGATTTTTATTAGCTTGTCACCGCTAGTGTCAAGATGTATACCATTATGAAGGTACGACGAAAGCAAATGCGGTTCTGATAATTTCCGAATCATGGTTGTTCAAAATTTATAGACACGAGGACTATATCTTTTTTTTCATCAGGTCTTCATCGTAATATTACCGAAGAACCGAATCAGCTTTGACACAGGGATGGTCGCCAGTGATAGCGCAGAGCTCATCCATTGGTGGTTTATCGTTATTATACCTATAAATGGAAGTGCCCTAGTGAGAATGGGTCTGCTCCAACGTTTTAGTACATTTTGTTAAGCGCGTAATCAAATGACACCCTGAATGAAGCATTTTCTAGCGCTTGACTCGTATATTGGTTTCCGTGGGGTAAAAGAGCTTTTATTGCCCGTGCTTACCACTACCGAAAATTCACGGAGTGTTGTCCTATACTTTAGGGGGGGATCAAAACTAAATGTTACTCGAGATAATTTCCTTACAGTACCGTTACTCAAATCTATCGATCCATTTGCCACTAAATGAATTGCTGGCTGCATCGCAGTCCTTACTTTTTTACTTTGAAATCGAGAGATACTGCTTCGTCTGGAGAAGGCAAGACGTTTGATACAATGGATATTACATGTGCTACTATAGTGGAAAATTTACCAAGTTATGCAGACAGCCCAGTTTTAATCGCCTTCCATTTGGTAAGTTCTCATGCAAGTGTCCTATGGGGATTTAGATTACGCTGTACGAGACAAGCATGCAAGGATAACATTTTCGGTGATCTGGAAGTCGTCGTGGTGTACCTGGATGACCTTCTGGTATTCGAGTGACCGATTGAACCATTTCGAATACGTTCGCGTAGTGTTTGACCGGCTGGATGATTACTACGCCCAACAAAAAAAACGTGCCACAATTTTTGCGATGAAATTATTTTATTCGGATACACGTCAAATGCATAGGGGATCAAGCCGCGTGCAAGAAATACTCGAGCCATACGACAAATTGCAATCCTCCGCGATAACAAGAGCTTCGACGATGTCTAGGTATGATCACTATTATCGTGATTTGGTACAAAACATGACAGCGTTATGCCAGTCTCTTCCTCGGCTTACAAGAACGATGATTACCGTACCTGGCTTTATGCAAAAGCTTTTGTATATCCCGAAACCAACAAGTTTCGGGATATACTGAAGCGTTCGCATTCGCTGTACCCCTCTCCTATCCCGACTTCGAAATCGTTATATCATTTGTATGCAGATGCTAGCGGAACACGAGTAAATGGTACTATCTTGCAAGAGCCAAAAATTATATTCTTTTTACTTTTGCGCACTCAATCAATATCAACGGAAATAACTGAATAAGTAGCAGGAGTTGCATTTGGTGTTGATACCTTCTTAAGCATAGGACAATAATCCGTGAATTTTCGATAGTGGTACACATGGGGAATAAAAACTCTTTACCCCACGGAAACCGATATACAAGTCAAGCGCTAGAAAGTGTTTCTTTCAGGGTGTCATTCGATTTTGCACTAATTAAGTGTAGATTAAAGTTAAAGCAGACCCATTCCCACGAAGGCGCTTTTGGAACAGTCTCAACAATGATGAACCACCGATGGATGAACATTGCGTTTTCACTGTCAACAGTTCGCGTGCCATGGCTGGCCCGGTTATTAAAGCTGATGGTGTCGAAAATACAGCGAAGGGGTAGCTGCATCGGCAAAAGGTTAGCATTGGCGAGTTTGGCATTTTATACGGCAATGCATGGTCTTTATTTAATTTGTTGTTTGGAGCGCAGCGTTTCGTATTCAGTTTATTTGCAGATAAACTAAAAACCGTCTTCGCTTCTAGTCTTGAAGGACCGTGTTTGTAGTGTGCTTCTCTACGTTGTGTATGTTGTAAATGCAACAGGTCTTAACACGGGAGTCCGTCGACATCACAGTGATGACCCGATAATTCAGAAAAACAAGTCTACTTATGTATCAGGATCCAACTACTTCGATTTATAGTTCTTATTTCATAATAAAACACCTTTGCAGCCTGTAGAAGAATAAAGCTGTTTGTGAAAGTGCGCAAGATGAATGCAGAACCTTTAACAATCTAACTTCTTCTGACTACGGTTCTTCCTACCTGTCCATACATAGCGCTTAAAGTACCTTTTGTGTCGACTTTGTGCAGCGCAGACCACCTTTATCCATATTTACATGTGTATGATACATGTCAGCGTTTAAAATGTTGTTATAGAATGATACACAGAATATAGTCACACAAGCGCCAATTCGCACACAAGATTATCACAATAGTGACAAATGCAAGTAGGAATGAAAGTGGGCTGACAATTAAATGATAGAAACTAAGAGCGTGTTTATGTATAGGGAGTTGAACAACTGTTACGAAACTCTCGTTAAGACCATGATCAATCCTTAATTTGAACTTTAGATTAGACTAAAATATGTCTTCTAGACTCTTTTAAAACTGAACTAATAGTTTAGCGATTATTCGCATTCATGTAACGGGGTGAATCGTTACATAACAATTTATAAGAAATTGTTAATAGAATATAACTATAAGAATTATATTCTCAGAATATTGTCATAAGGACAATATTCTGTAGCACTTCCAAGTAGTTCCTAATTGGTTGATATAGGCCATTATATCAACCAACGAAGACGCGCCACGACAGACGCACGCAATGAGTGGTGAGCAGATAACTGATTTACACATTTGTATTTAGACATAGTTAGATGAAGATAAATACTGATTTATTGCAGACATTAACTATTATAAATACAGTTCTACTTTTTACTCTAACCAAGTACTCGCTTCTTCTTACCGTCTTCCTCTGCACGTACGAGTGTACGTGAAGTTACGAGGCACCACCTTATTCTGTTATAAGAATAAATAGCTTGTACTGTCACCAGTACAAGCTTCAGGGTGCCCCGTTACACCTGGTAGCACTTTGTAGTCCGTCCAAGGACCGCGTTCACATCCAACATGAATATGTTGGATGATGAAGATGACCAAAGCTTTCACGCTACGCGTGACGGCTACTCCCATTTGAGCGATGTCGAATGGGATGCGGTTGAACGAATGGGTTCGACCATGGGCATCCATGCTGTTAGCGTCATGCTAGAGGCTCTCAATAGAGATGCCCAACATGCTACTATCGCCAAGTTCATTCAAAATGAACTTGACGCAGAACGCGAGAAAGTAGCCTTGCTTCACCAACAAGGTTCTCAACAAGCAGAGTTGTTGAGAGAACAAGGTGCTCAACAGTTTGAACTGTTGAGACAGCAGCAGGCTGCTGCTGGCGGGTCGATGCACTCGCGTCGGCCCGAGACTTTGAAGATTGACATCTCAAAGTATAGGGGGGTCGAAGAAGACTCCCTCTTGAGATGGTTCGTCGAATTGGATGACGCCATAAGGGCGCGTCGCATCGACGACGGGGATATGCAAGTTGCATTTGCCCAGTCAAATCTGGCAGGACGTGCCAAGACTTGGGCACTGGGGCTCAAGCTGCACGACCCATACGCGTTTGGGTCGTTGGAAGTCTTCAAGTCGCGGCTCAGACAAACGTTTGAACCGCCTAGAGCTGAGTTCAGAGCTCGAACCGAACTCTTGAAGCCCAAGCAGGGTAAGCGTGATGTGCACGCTTACGCTCAACATATACGACATCTCACGAGTTGTATAAGTTCCAATCCGGTGGATGAACACACGTTGGTTTCGGTGTTCATGCAGGGTCTTGCGGATGGTCCCGTCAAGACTCACCTGTTCCGGCTTGAACTAGATTCACTAGAACAAGCCATTTCAATTGCGGAGCAGGAAGACTTCAGTCTGAGACAGGCTCGCGCCAGCTCGACATCATATCGTCAACCGAGACGATATGACAACGGAGGTCCAGAGCCGATGGAACTCTGTTATGTAGAGAGCGAGAAGGCTCGCTCTACAGGCTACAAGAAGTTGCAGAGATGCAACAGATGTCAAAAGACAGGACACTACGCTTACGAGTGTAGTGCCCCTCGTCCAGTGTCTCGCGACACTGGGCGTAGTGACCGTCCACCCATGAGAAAGGGGCAGGGACGAGGGTCCGCAGTTGGTGCAAAGACGCAACAACGGGATGGACCGTCAAAAAACGGACAGGATCAGTAGGTGCGGAGCACCCTACTGATCCAGCAACGTCAAGAGAATTTGTAGGCCTCTTGATGAAGGTTGCTCCCAACACACAGACATTGTGCGTTGCTGCTCTAGGTAATGAGATCTCACTCATTACCTTGAAACTCGAAGTGACGAATAAGTTGTCCCTTCGAGCTCTAGTCGATTGTGGGGCGTCCAACAATTTTGTGCGACGCCAATCGCTAGAAGATGGTCACTTTAAATTCAGTGAATGTGACACACCTCCTACGATGATGACGGTACGTCTTGCGACAGGCGCATCCGTAACCGTCATGAAGCGTATAGTGAAGATTCACTATACGCTAGAAGATACCCAATACGACGATGACTTTATCGTATTGGATTTGGATGACAAATTTGATGTCATCCTTGGAATACCGTGGCTCAGAAGGTACGAACCACGGGTAAACTGGCAACATCGGACAGTAACGATGCCTGCCGCTTGTTCATCAGATGGCCATCTGATGAACGTTTTGGAGCGTCCACAAGCGTGTGGATGTACTACGAGTGAGTGCGATGGCCTCACTTGTGGTACGGTCGTTAGTACGACTGCACAAAACCTTAGTGTACCAAACGGTTACACTTCGGAGCAAAGTTCCGGCGGCTGTGAGGAAACACAGGCTGCGCCGAAGGTCCACCACTCGAATAAGTCGGGTGGACTGGGACAAAGATGTATCCCTAGAGGGGAACATCTAGAAGAGAAACAATCGATCGCTCAGGTTAAGCGAAACGATAATCCTAGATCGACTGGAGAGTCTTTCGTAGAGGATCTCGCTGTGGTTGCGCAACCCCAGCTAGAGGAAGTAAAGGGAATAAGTCCCAAGATTACAAATACGGCGGAAATAAGTTCCCCGAAACCCGCGGGAATAAGTCCCCGGGAAGACGAAGGAATAAGTCCTTCGAAGCCTGAGGGAATAAGTCCCCAGGAAATGACAGAGACATTGAATGTCATAGTCAATAACGGATCATGTGTAGGCGCTTATACACTTGATCTGATTGCGCCTCCGAAGTTAACTTCGGAGATCACTCAGTTGCCAACGCTCGAACATAAAAGATTCTTGCGTGATCTGCGTAGTGGCAAAGTCAAGCAGATCTGCATACTCGTCGCTGACGACGAGTATGTAACCGACATAAGGTCAGCAACAGTGTTTACTGAGAACGAGAGAGTTCTCAGTAGTTCATCTATGGACGAGAGTGTCCTAGATGAAAAGACACGAATTGAGCGATATGAGTCCCAATCATGGGAATCGCTCAAGGAAAATCCTCTCTATGAAGATTTGGTTGAATTCAAGGATGTATTCCCTGAAACTGTTCCGTGCGAATTACCGAAGGATAAAGGTATTCGACACGAAGTCGAGCTTAAACCAGGCTCGAAGTACTGTGTCATGAAGCAGTGGCCACTGCCTCGTGAACAAGTACTTGCGATCGACAAGTTCTTTGCCGATCGTTTAGCAGCGGGCCATGTGAGGGAATCAACTTCCCCACATAGCTCTCCGACCTTCTGTGTGCGAAAAGCAACAGGAGGGTGGCGGATAGTGCACGCGTTTAACAAATTGAACGCTGCAACGGTACCGGCTCAGACGCCGATACCGAGGAAGGACGTAATCATTGATGGTATGTCAAAGAGTACCATCTTTTCGTCCATGGATTTGATGGATGGCTTCTATCAAATCCTAATGCGGGAACGGGATATACCCTATACCGCAGTTAGCACGCCTAGCGGCATGCTCTGGGAATGGCTAGTAATGCCACAAGGGCTCAGTAATGCCCCTGCCACGTTCAACAGGTGTGTATCACATCTGTTGAGGCCAGTACGAGAATTCGCGCCGAGTTATTTCGATGACGTATTCATCCATAGTCGAGCTATGGATGGAAAGTCGGACGTTGAAGTTCACAAGTACCACGTCCGACAAGTTCTTACAATCATGCGAAAGCATCAATTGTATGCAAACCTCAAGAAGTGTATATTTGCAGCAAGCGAAATACCACTTCTTGGGTGCATCGTTGGTAAGAACGGTGTACGTCCTGATCCCGAAAAGATCAAGGCGATCACCGACTGGCCCGTGCCGGTCGATGTCAAAGGTCTTCGAAAATTCCTTGGGCTAGCGGCGTATTTGCATAAGTATTCACGCAATTACGCCGAGATGACTGTACACCTCTCTCGTTTGTTGAAAAAGAACGAGAGGTGGTTATGGAACGCTGAATGTCAACGCTCCTTTGAGGGTATCAAGCAGAGCTTGATACAATCCCCAGTCCTAGCAATAGCCGATCAGGACAGGCCATTTCATGTGGTCTGTGATGCCAGCGATTTCGCAATCGGCTGTGCATTAATGCAGTACGACCTTGAAGGCGTTGAACGCGTCGTCTGCTATCAGTCGCGTCAGCTGCAACCAGCTGAGCGGAACTATCCAGTGCATGACAAGGAACTCCTTGCCATGAAGTATGCACTCGCGAAGTTCAGAGTCTATCTATTAGGAGATAGACCCTTCGTTGTTTACACTGACCATGCGTCCTTACGCACGGCAGTGAACAGCCCGCACCTTTCACAACGAATGGCGCGGTGGTTGTCATTCTTTGCAGAATACAACTTTACGGTCGAGTACAAACCAGGACGACTTAACGTCGTCGCTGATGCACTCTCACGTCGTCCCGACTTTGAAACAGTCGCGAAACCCAACAGTGAGACAGTCACTGTTGCGGTTATGACGTCCTCAGTTCCATCTACAACGTTGTATGATGATGTGAGGCGGGCATACGCCCAAGATGGTGAGATAGTGAAGTTGTTGTCACATCTCTCCCAACCATCTCGAGAATCGTTGAAACGATTGTCGTCTGCGTATCGATCTGCATCAGATCGATACACTACTCGTAACGGTTTACTGTATTATACAGCCGTTTCTGGTGACACACCACGTGTTGTCATTCCAGATGATACTGATCTGCGTTTGCGGATCATGTTCGAGTATCACGATGCTCCTATAGGAGGACATCGTGGCCGAGAGAAAACATATCTCACGGTAAGTCGAGACTTTTACTGGCCCCGCCAGTATCAGTTTGTGCGAAAGTATGTTCGCGCATGCGAAGTCTGCCAACGAGTGAAGTCAAGTCCTTCACTGCGTGCACCTTTACAGCCTCTACCGGTTCCGGCTGAGTGCTGGGAATCCATCTCAATGGATTTCGTCTTCGGGTTACCCAAAGACGCACGCGGGAATACGGGTATTCTCGTATTTGTTGACAGATTCAGCAAAATGGTACACCTTGTGGCTGTACCAGAGACAATCACGGCAAGTGGCTGTGCTTGTGTCTTTATTGACACCATCTTCCGACTTCATGGGTTGCCCCGTGAACTCGTATCAGACAGAGATCCACGATTCACTGCTGATTTCTGGCGTTCCGTGTTCAAATCACTCGGAACGCGCTTGAAGATGTCAACATCTGATCATCCAGAGTCAGATGGTCAGACGGAACGTGCCAATCGTGTCCTTGAAGAGATACTTCGAGGATACGTACACTCCTTTAAGAGTTGGAGTGAGTTTTTGCCGATGGTAGAGTTTGCCATCAACAACTCGGTGCATGCGTCCACGACACATACACCGTTTTACGTGAATGGCTTGCGCCATCCGCGTGTACCCACCTTACTAGAGTGTAACTCTGGTTTAAGGGGGAGGGACTCGCGCGAGCAAAAACCGATTTGGTTCACGCTCATCACGCTCTGACGAAGAAGTCATTGCGTTTGATGCCGATATCGATAACATCGATATCGAAGAAGATGATGCCAGTGAGAGTGCGGAAGCCCTCACTGAAGACAATGATCCCAGTGAGAGTGCGGAAGCCCTCACTGAAGAAAAGGTTGTTGTCGCTGCAGTGCGCTCACAGCACACTGAAGCTAACGAGTCATCAGATGAGTTCATACTGGCTCGTGAAACGGTAGTCCGTTTTGTGCAAGACTCCATCGCCGAAGCGGTGGATAAGCAAAAGCAAAACGCTGACAAGAATGGAAGGGCAAACACTCTTTTATTTAATAAAGGTGACTTAGTCCTACTGTCTACGGTTAATCTACCAAAACATGTAGTGACTAACTTGGGTAGCAGTAAACTACTACCCAAGTACATTGGCCCATTTCGTGTATTGCACCGCCTAGGCAATGCATACACGATCGAGTTACCACGTAAGATGCGAACGCATCCCACGTTTTACGTTGGTCGGCTTAAGCCGTACCATCAGTACGCTGCTTCTTCCGATGAAGAACGCCCTTGCGCTCAAGCATCTCGCAGAGAGCCTTGTGCTCCCGATGGTGGGCATCAACAAGGGTCTGAAGAGCAGTTATCTCAGCCCGAGACCGATCAACAATCCCACGAGCTACCCTTAGCTCGTCACAAAGAGATGTCAGAGATCTCTCGTTCTCAAGCTGAGCAAAGGCAAACTCAGCTCGATGCTTCGAGGCAGTGTCCACCATCTGGAGACGCCTATTCCGCTCATGCTCGAGATCGTCGCGTAACCCTTGCGTTACGCGATCAAAGAAGCTCTCGGGAACACACCGATCCACATGATCGTGTGGAGAGCGTCTTTCCTCCTCCTCCACCTCCATTAGAGGACTCTCGCGGTGGCCAGCGCTATCTAGTAGAGCAGCTGTTGAACCACCGCGACGTGAACGGACGTCGGACGAGTTACCTCGTCCGGTGGCGCGGCTATCCCCCGTCCTGGGATTCTTGGGAGCCCCGCTCCCAATTGATGGTTGACGTACTGGGTCTGGTCGAGCAGTACGACGCGACACATCCTGTGCCGCAGAAGGACCGCCGGAGAAAGTCTTCCCGGCACGGTCGTAAAGGGATTTCAGGTTGTCAATCCCTTCGTACATCTCAGTAGAGACACGTACGCGCCACCACGGGCTGGTAAGGAGGTAAGCCTCCTTAGGTGCTCGTGCAGAGTTGTTCACACAACATGGGCACGAGTCTCCCCAAGAGAGGCAGGGTAAT